TATAAATGATTAGCTAGAAATGTTGCACATATAAAAATTCTCTGATGAAGTTTAAACCATTATAGCTCATTCGTTTAATTATAATCCATGAAATGTTTACAGATATATTTGTAGTGGCTGTGCTTCGTTGACCACTCACTCTCGTAACCGTTATCATATAATCATCAACGCTGTTTAAAATCAGAAGGCAAAGAGAAGCAGCGACTACAGTTTTATTAGCAGATAACTCAGACCACAAAGCAGAGAGGCAAATGACTAAGTCAGCGAATCGAGAGAGCAGAGTGTGTAGGTTTAAATGTACATGTATATATATAAGGAAACGGATGAATCATCGAGTCAATTAAGCAGCTGATAATAAAGCTAGCAGACTAAATATATGTGTAGGCGGTAAGCAACGTTCAAGCATACATATTTCATACAGGCACAACACTAATAAAGACACAATAAATTGTTATAGTACGGATGACTTTGTACGCTAAAGAAGTTAACAAAAGGGCTTGACCGAAATAAATGAGAACAAACTCAATTGCACGTGAGTTGCTATATATTCTACGTCTTTTTAATGTGTAGTTTTTTTATCATTAAGTCACATCTACTGAAATATGATTGAAAACATGGAATCATTAGATTCATACTTTAACTTGATCTAAAATATCCACATAGTTGTCAAGTTAGTCCTATCTGCTTTTAAAAGAATTACCAGTTTTTATTATCATTAAAAAGGAAAAAAAAAACTAGTTTCAAATTAATGAATGTTTATGAACTTTTATACTTAAGAAAGAAACGTTAATGTTTTTTTTGTTATACCCCAAAAACCTCCACTGTCTTTTATTTATTATTTAATTATCGTTAAGAGATAGAAATATAAGTTTCTGTGCCAGAAAAAATTAAATACTTTTTTTTACAAAATTGACTGACCTTTATTTTTTTATTATTTTTTTTATTTTGTTTTTCTTTCGAAAAAAAATGAAAACAGAATTTTTTTTGTTTACTTCTTATTAACTGACGTATTTTTTTTTGAAAAAATTTTTTTCTTTTGCTTGCCTCTATTAATTAATCTTATGGATGTGTTTTATTTTAATCCGCCTGCTCAAGCTCTCAATTCACTGGTTCAAAATTATGAATATAGAATAGAGCTTATTTTCTAGTTATCTTTCTCATTAATCATTTTTTTTTCGTTTCTCTTAATCAACCTTCATATTTTTAATAGGGTCGAATTCATATTCATATATAGACCACTGTGAAAATAAATAAATAAAGACAAATTAATCCCTTTTTTTTTCTTCTTCTTCTTCTCTCGTGTTCAATACGAATTCCCTTAACTTGTCTCCATCGATCGTGTTTGTCTTTCTACTGTTTCCTTTTTTCTCTCTTTTTTTTGCTCTCACTTTAATGATCGTAAAATGTTGATTAAAAATGATTTAACTGAACAATAATAATAAAAAATAATAATAATGAGTTTGAATAGTTAGAAATTTTATTATTCACAATGAATAGATGAACTACTTTCATTCTTATTTATGTTGGTATTCCGATTTCTTATAATAATAATAATAAGTAGTATGAATAATTTGTTCTAGAAATTAATTTGATTAGATTTCAGGTCATTGATTGTATCTGTAATGGAAATTAATCTGGATTATATGAAATATGTAAAGGATATTGGTTATCTTAGAAGTGTTTTTAATTTTCTGTTAGTAACCTACAAGAATTAAGGATCTTATCAGTATCTGATTTTTTTTTGTTCAACTTAGAAATCAATATTTCTTTTTTAACGTATTAAGGAATAGATTTTTTTATAAAAAAATTTCCTTTGAAATTCTTAGCACATCAAAATGAATGATATACGTAGAACACTTTAAAGGATTATTTTACAAATTTATAAGATGTATATAATTCATTCATTTTTTTAATCGGGTTATAAACTCTACCCTTCCCAATAGTATAGAATAATGAATATAATAGAAAAATGTATTAAAACCAATTAGTTACAACGTCGAACCAGGCATATACGTGAATAGGTTCAACTTGCCATACCTCATTAGCACAACAGAATGAACCGCGGATTCATAGAAGTAGTTAATTCAGTGGTGATAATATTGAAGAAAAATTGCAGTAAGGATATAGTACAAGAAGAAAGAATTAGTTCGTAGAAAGAAGGATATGAAGCGATTTTATCTCTTAGTTTAAGGGAAGACGGAGGGTGTATACACCTACGCCATTGTGATCGATTCTGAGCCATGTCATCCATAGTCTCAACCAAGTAGTCTGCATCTACCAACATGGCTCAGACTACAAGTTAGTGACTTCAAGCACTGATGCAACGTTTTGGTTTGGCCGCCTCGAACTTTCTTCCAACTATCCCCAACACTAGTCAGCATTGCGCATCGTGGTAATCGATGTTTAGGCGTGCGTAACACGTGGCCCAACCATCTCAGTCGATGAAGATTCACAACTTCATCAACTGATTTACCATCATTCCCTAATACCCTGCATCTAGCCTCAGTATTACTTATACGGTGATTCCAGCAGACGCCAGCAATATTTCTGAGGCATCTGTGGTCAAATACTAGTAGCTTACGAGTATCTTCTACTCCTAATGGCCATGTTTCGCTGCCGTAAATAAAACAGAACGGACTGCCGCACAGTATACTCGTCCTTTTATTGATAGATGGATATCTCGCCTTCGCCATAAGTGACGTAAGTTGGCAAAAGCCAAACGAGCTTTTCGAATCTGTGCTGAGATTTCGTCAGACACCAACCCATTAGGGTTGATCAGACTTCCAAGATAAGTGAAGTTGTCAACGCGTTCGACTACTTCACTCCCTATCCTTAGTTCAGGTGTTGACACAGACCAGTCCTGAAGCAGCAACTTTCATTTAGAGGGAGAGAAGCGCATCCAAAACATTCTAGTATTGTTGCACAGTGCTACCAAACGACTCTGCATTTTATCAGTGTCTTCACCAAACAGGACTATATCATCTGCGTATTCTAAGTCGATAATTGGACTTCTTGGTAGGATATCAATGCCCGAAAATTCAGTCTATGTTAAACAAGTTAAACAAAAGTGGAGAAAGTGAATAGTCTTGACGGACACCACTTGAGGTTGCAAAAGCAGATGACAGTTCGCCATAAGCTCTGACCCAACTAGTAGTGTTCGAGTAAAGAGCCTTCACAAGGTTCATGTACTTCTGAGGTACGTCTTTCAATGACAGACACTGCCACAGAATCTTGCGGTATATGGAGTCAAACGCTGCTTTTAAGTCAAGAAAGACCACCATTGTCGGATGCGGTAAGTATGCCTATGTTTTAGAACCTGACGAATGGTGAATATATGGTCGATGCAGACACAATGTATTAAAATAACAATGAAATACGATAATAATAGATAATAAATAAATACTTCAAGATAATCCAATTTACAAACAAAGTGTTTACTCTAGACAATTATTATACAAAACTACCAAGTGTGAATAAGAACCAATCTTATTACGTATTTCAACATCGAAGCCATAGCTATTTGAATGTCTAGTTCCAATGTCGATTGTGTTCAGAAATAATTTTTTACTTAAATTAAACTTATTATCCAAATTGGTATGATACAAGTTGTTTTACACATTGTTTTTTTAATTATTATTATTATCTTCGTTTTTCTTTGATCTTTCAATTCACTTAATTGACCTTTATTTTTCATATATAAATGCTATTAGGTAAATGTGCGATCCGATTCTTTGAAATATATAGAGTTAATATGTCATATAGCTAGAATAAACCTCATTTTTTTTCCTTTCATTCCATTACCTACATTTATGAAAGAGATTAATTGTTGTAAATTAAATACTTTTCGAACATTTCATTTCTTAAGCTAAGACGGATAGTGGCTAGCTGTGGAATCCAGGACGCGCGTTTTGTCCTATTTGGGACTCGTCAGCTGGATGCACCTGCATCCCAGAGTTGATTTTCACTCCGGGACTCGAACCCAGTACCGTCAGCTTCAAATGTCATCGCATTATCCACTTACCTACTGAGTCCTGATAGCCACTATCCACCTTTGCTTAAAAAGCTTGTGACTTAAGGCTATATCTAGGCAATCCGCACAGAATGCACATATGCCAACATGAGACTGATCAACTGCAGTCCTAAATAACAATCGAAGTATACAAGTAAAACAACATCAAATGAATTTCATTTCTTAGTTGATAACAAAGATTGATTCTGTGATTATTAATAGAAATCTTATACTGACACAATTTCCTTTTCAACTTAAATATTTCTAGAACAGTAACTATTTACATGATTCAGTCAATCTATTATCTATAATTTCAATAATATAAATTTACGACTGTTTTTAGTTTATTGCATAAGATACTTTTTGGATGTTCTAATAGTCAGCTAACTTGTATTACAATCTAATTGTTACTCAATAAATACAATATCAATAGAAATCAGTGTAAAGGGGTTTGTGGAAATTGTAAAATTTTCATCGTTGAAATCATAGTGATCTTGATGAAACCATTGTTAAAAATCATGAGTTAATTGATGTCTATTTGGTTCTAGTATGGAACTGCTAAGTATAGTGCATCCATGAGCCAGATTTAGGATTTGAATCCAAGGCCCCAGGTCTTATGCACTGATGCTTAACTTGTAGACTACCAAGCCAACACCCACCGGTATTAATGTCTAACCTCACTCAGTTAGTGATATTTCTCTACCGTCTTTCACTGTCTGTAGTGGATAATCCTTTCACGCCAGACATAGTTGGACTCCACATTCAATAAACATTTGTAGTCTATATTACAGTTGGGAAATATGTTTAATTCCTCAGGTGAATACGTTTTACTGGATATTCCATAATGCATAAATTGTATCAATCTTATAACAATCTTACAATAATAAGCATCTGCTTTACAGATTTTACGTATACCGTAACAAAAACAACTATTTATTCGTTATTATATACAACTGTAATGTAATAAGATGTTCATATTTTTCATACTTACTTTTCAAATCAGTCGACTTGCTCTCCAAACCGGTATCTAAAGATCGTTGAGTTTTATTTTTCTGAAACTGAACTGATAGAGATTGGTCTTCATTTCCATGAACAGAATGCGATTGAACCTGGATTATTTACAAATATATAGAACAAATATTGAAATTTAGTTGGTACGTCCATTATACCATGGTCACCTTACACTTGCTGAGAAGAAGAATGTTCCTCAGGTTGTTCGTTAACTACCAGTTAGTCTGAAAGGAGCTCAGCTGTCTTCACACTGACATTTGTTTCTTCAGGTACCTTAAACAGACGTCTGTGACACCTTAAAATAATTTTTGACAGTCGGTGATTCATTTGAAACAAAAAGTGGATCGAAAATTACATTCCAGTGAGCTGATTTTCGAATAATAATCAGATTCAGAATAATGTTTGACTGATTCGAACTCATCAGCTTTTATTCAGGCACTTATCGTCTCAAATCAACTTACGAATTTCACAAGATTAAATATATTGAAACAAACAGGGAAATAAAAACTGAGTACTGAGTCATAAATTTGATCTTTTTTCTTCAATATAATCACATGAGGCAATCTAACTATTTATGTTATGCATTCCCCGTTAGTTGTGCATTAAACTTAAACTAGGTATTATGTTTTACTGTTAAAAACAATGAGATTTTTTAAATCTTGGTTTCATGAGAATGTGTCTATGATTTTTTGTAAATGGATACCTTCAACCTCTTAACAGTTTGAATTACTTGACTCTTAGGTACAAATAATGACATTACCAGTGAGATATTTCGGCTGACATACATTGCTAATAAGTACTATTCGGTACACTACTCATCATATCCCACCAACGAATGTCCCTAAAACATTTACTAGTATGTTGATACATTACCTCTTGAAATTAACTGATAAAATATGTCAAGTACTGAAGACTACAAAGCCTATCACAATTTATCACCGGGTAACAGAATAACCATATATTAACGGTATTTATTTTTCTTCTTATGTTTATGTTTTATTGAACTTCACTTTTAAAGTATGTACAAAGTAAAACATATTCTTTTCTAGTCCTAATCCTTATCAAGTAAACATGGAACAGTCGCTTATTAGTCATGAAGATTGATTTCCAGCCAATAGGTCCCAGCTGTGAACTCAGCTTCATCTACAAGATCAGGATCAGGTAGTATCACTAGCCACACACACACACATACACTTGGAATCTGACTCGAAGTCTGATAAATTACCTTATACCTAATAAATGAGTGCAATAATAACTAGATATTAGATAAGCAGTTTATAACATTAAAGTTAATAATTCTTTATTTACATACATTCCCAGTGAGTAAATGAGTAGATTGAAAAATCCGTAGGTCATGTATGCCTAAATATTGGTCACAGAATTCAGATGTAGTGCATTTATTAACGCTACGAAAAAACTGAGGATGGTTAGACTTAGTCCATTAAAGAAAACTAATACTTAAATCTTTACCATGCAAGTTTGTTCTATGTAAGAAATATTACATTTGGTACTCAGTTTACATAAACACAACTTTCGTTATCGACTGAGATTATTGGTGCCAATTAGTTATAAAATATTAATCAGTGACATGCTACTCATCAGTATACACAGAAAAATTCCTTAACTCGAGTCCTGTGACGAACGTAAAATATTGGAGTCATTGATTCGGGGTCTGATAATAATCTTCAAGACATTTTAAGATTCACGAATTCTAAACTGAATTCTATGTGAACATTGTCATAGTGTCTCGAACTAGAAGATGACTATTTTCTAATACTTTAGGTTTTAACTTGTTCATCATATAGTGTAAGTTCTCAGTGAAATCCATTTATTAGTTTTAAAAAACTTATATAAAAAAAACTTGTCTGACTTTTTAAATTAGTAATGGTTCATATGAAAGTGACATTTTTAACACTTTGTAAATCCAAGGTCTGCTAATACACTCAAAAACATCAATCGTATAAATTAACAAATAGAAACTGAATAGATTCGCTTCCGAACTTCACTTATCTGATAAGGAGAATTTACACGGAATTTCTATTTTATACGACCAATTTAATTTCAGGATTATGCACTCATTTTTGTATGACACCATTTGAACTGCTAATTTTCCTGATGACATATGAACAATGATGCTAATAATCACAGTTATTCCATTAAGAAGTTATCAAAGAAAGAAAAAAAGTTGTCATCGCTTACAATGTATGTCAGTTTTAAGACTTGTAGTTCTTTAAATTAAGTGGGTTTTTAAATTCATGTTCATAATTCGAATGTATGGCTTCATAAAGAAAACTAATCATAGAGTGATTTATTCACTAATTTATTAGGTATATAAATTTTTATAGATGTAATATATCTACATAATCGAAGATATACACAAGATCTTAAATTTAAGGACTATAGTAATTGGTCAATCAATTGTATCCACAAAATCTCTACAAACTAAAGGGCAAATAGGTTGCATCAACGATGAAACAAAATACACCATATAAGAAATCCATCCTCTTTGATTAGGTCTATGTAAACACAATAATATGTCTTCACTTGTTTAAATGAATGTAGATAACTGCAGACACAAATTACTCTGAGGAAATATCTTAAAAGTAAATTTAAACATGAAGAAATTCCAAGAGTTTTTTTGTAAACTTGACTCCCAGTTTACTCAGTAATCAATAAACAAATGATAAGAGACTCAATCTCCAAACTAGTTCAAACATCAAGTCAAAGTAAAGAATTAATGAAAACAAATTTTCAAACAGTGATAGCTCAGTCAATCAACCTTATTTAATACAATTTAACATAAAATGTCCACTATTTTGAGGTTAAAGAGATCGCTTTTGTTTACAAATACAAATACAATGAATAATTCATAAGTAAATTATCCATCTCAAAGAATCCAAATGCCACTGATATAATCTATCTGAACTATAAATTTTCTTTACCATGAAATTCAGATGGTATCATCTATAAATATTGAAGATGTTATGAAATTCAATAAAATCCATCTTTTCTCATCAAAATTTTATCACTTAACAAGAAAGAAAACTAAATAAAGTTGGTTTATCAGAAAAAAATTTTTAAAAAATCTAATAAAAATCAATTAAATTTCATCATTATATGTGAAAATTATCATTTGAACTAATCTCAGTGATTGAAACTTTAAATATTTCCAACGTTTCGTCCAGTTAACTTGTCTGGACTTCTTCAGGGTAATAATCAAAATCAACGCATATCACTGAGCAATATTTTTTTAAACAATTGATAACAAAAGTTGTTTTTTTTAATATTTTGATTATTATCCTGAAGAAGTCCAGACAAGTTAGCTGGACGAAACGTTGGAATTATTTTAAATTCCAATCGCTAAGATTATTTCAAATAATAATTTTCACATATAAGGACTTCTCTATATTCGGCGCCTGATTTCTATAAAACTATTTATTGTAATCTTGACGAATATTCGTATAATTTAAATTTAAGATAAAGTACTTCACTACTTGAAATGAATAAACTTTTTGATCGTTTGTTTACTTATTTGAATGTTCAATAGTTTTATTTAAATTTTCTTTCAGTGTTTCTTTTCTTGTCATTAAAACAATAAAACAAATTCTAATTTCACATTGAATTCTTTAATAAAATTTATATAATACACTTCAATTATCAATGAAAATTAATTAACGAATTACATTTAATGTGTGGATGAATTTTTTAAAACATCGAACATGATTCAATTCTTCATGTGCCCATACATTCGTTTAGAATGATAAGCTACAAAACAAAGAACGTTTGAAATAAGCAATCACTACTGCATATACAATGAACAAATACTGTGCGATTTCAATTTACTATAGATGTTTATGATATTATATCGTAATGACTAATCACTATGAGGATCACTTAGTACCAACTTATCAATATTATCGAATAGCTGTTGTAGAAATAAAAGTTATTTTTCATTAAAGATGAATCCTTCGTAAAGATAATGAATTTTTGAACGGATTCATTTAGTGAATTGTGTTACTAACTATTAAAGAAAGATTATTATAAAAGTCAATTAATATAAGATTATATTAATGTACAAGTAGATAGTTCACATCATCAGCTATATTAGCATGTCTTCCAAAATGAACATATTGTATTTTTTGTTTCCTCATTTTATATTGTTGAAAATGATATAAAATCAATTCATATTGATGTAAGTAGTATATGACGCGAGTTAAAAACGTGATGTCTGGCAGCAGAAGATGGGGGGAGATCAAGAAAGGAAGTGTGCGAACACAATGCAATTTGTAAGAAAACGGATGAACAATGAAATATGAGACAATGGATTGATGTTTGCAACAGGAACGGTCCATGTTGATATGATGGATTGATATTTTGTAAATAAACGATTTACTATATGGGTTTTCTATTTTAACAAGTAACTCTGTAATTTTGTGCTAAATACAATTCGGTTGTCCTTTTTACTACAATATCAGTTATTTTGCTTTATTCATGGATATTTACTGATGAGTTATAAGTGGTATAATAATTTTTTTGATAAATGTATGATAGTTCATTTGCTTTTTGACTATTAAAAGCTAATAAGCTGATTGTTTGAACAAATGTATCACTAATATTTCTGTTGCTACGACACTTACTATGTAGAAGTCTAAAAAAAACCTCTATTGATATTTTTACATAACATTTCAACCTTTTAACTAAAGAGGTAAGTACAAGTTTTAGTAAGACTGAATTATAGTTAGTAGTGAAACCCATAATGAGTGGAAATTTTCATTTGGTACTCATTAGTTAGATTTATCTGTATCCCAATGCTGATGTTCATAGTGGAATTTGAACGTAGAATCTTCTACTTCAAATTCCAACTCAAAGATACTGAGCTCGAGTTCCACTGCTATGTAGATATATCCAGAACATGGGTCTTAACTAGAACTTTAAGTACGTTTTGAGTTTCACTGTTTGCCAGGATTCATCTTTAATGAAAAATAACTTTTATTTCTACAACAGCTATTCGATAATATTGATAAGTTGGTACTAAGTGATCCTCATAGTGATTAGTCATTACGATATAATATCATAAACATCTATAGTAAATTGAAAT